GAAGAAGAGGAAGAAGATCTCGAATGCAAAGAAGAAATGGAAAAAGACTTGGAAATTAAATTAAAAGATCGTATTTGCAAGGAAAAAGTAAAATATATAGAAAAGATAGAATCGATGAAATATTGTGAACAAGTTCCATCGACAATGACTGTATATTTGGAAGAAACGTTATTTAGGAATGATAATAAAAATCGACAAGTATTTACAAAATTACCTCCAATGCCTACCGATGCTACCATTCAGAACGCTCCCTTTTATACCGACAATTTCATTATCAGTAAATACTATTATTTGTATGTAGGATCTACAGTGTAAATAATTTGACAGAAAAGATCTTACTTACTAAATTTTATCGAATCAATAATCAAGTCGAATCTATGTTTAAAAATTTTTTAATACTTTTCGTGAAGGTTGTTCGAGCGGGACGGTCGCGTTAGTAGAAATTCCCACGTTAAAGTGTCGATTTATCTTTCAAGATTCCAACTTTATCGTCAGCAGTTTGGATGCGCATCCCCGAAGGTATTTTTGTTAGACTTAACACTAATAGCGTTTGATCGTGCACGTATGTGCAATACAATATTACACAATATCGAGAATAATTTTTATTTATATTGTTATAGTGCAACATTTTCATATAAGTTTATAAAATTATAATTCTTTGCAACGTCGTTCTTTGATTCACAAGCAATTTTATAGTGACTGGTAACGTGCAAGGTTTCGTCTCTTTATACGATTATGAGAAACGTAAGTGTATCGTGCGCAGAGATACTCCACCTCTTCCAGATTTTCGTCTGCTATTGGATGATCAAGCGAAGAGTGGAACTATAATTTATATTACATGCCCAGAGAGACACGAGAAATTGACATCCGTTACAGCATTGAAATATTCACCAATAGGTAAATCTTTATTTCGTCAGTTATGGTCTTTCGTGGTACACTGTAGATCAAGGAATTGTGCAAAATTGAAAAAAAATGCTTGATTTGAATTATATACGCCTATATCTTTATAGAGGAAATTAACGATTTTAGGTGATTTTTTTTAGGTGATTTAGTAGCATGTGGCCTTGAAAATGGAACGGTTTGGATGTTGCATCCTATTACTTTAGAAGCTCTTGATAAAAATCCTTACAAACATTCTACACAATCGATACTTCGGTTCGCTTTCACAGAGTGCGAAGAATACATGGCATATGCAGTAAATATCAAAATATGATACCTATATTATTTGTAACGAAAATTTATACCTTATATATTTCTATTTATTATCTTTGAAAAATATCCAATTTCTAAAGTTTCTTTGTCTCTTTATTCTGCAATATAACACGTATGCATGTAGCACAAGTAAATTAGTATAATGCGTTAAAAGCACGTTGTATCCATTGTTAAAAAATTTGGTAAAAAATAAAACTGTTTTTTATAATTATACGTATATAATTTTTTTTTAGGATGACACGGCAGTGGTAGCAGTATTTAAAAAAAACCGCAATTCCTCAAGCCGTCATTTATGGGACTTTGTTGGGAAATATCGTTCTCACGATGGAACAATAAGAGATATACTTTTCGGGCCAGCCACTACCGAAAGCGTCGTCTATCGATTATTTTCAATAGGAGACGATCGGAATCTAATTGAATATGATCTTAAGAATAGGTAAACTGAACATAATATAGAAAAAAAAAATTATATATATATATATA